CCTACGTCGTTTCTATATTTTTGCTATTGTGAACAATGCTGCAGTGAACACGGGTGTGTATATGTCTATTCGTGTGACGGCTCTTATTTCTCTAGGATACATTCCTAGGAGTGGGGTTGCTGGCTGGATCTTATGGTACTTGTATTTCTCGCTCTCTAAGGAAGTGCCAAATTGTTTTCCAAAGTGGTTATACCATTTTACATTCCCACCAACAGTGCATAAGTGTTCCAGTCTCTCCACAACCTCTCCAGCGTTTATTATTTTGTGTTTTTTGGATTAATGCTAGCCTTGTTGGGGTGAGATGGTATCTCACTGTAGTTTAGATTTGCATTTCTCTAACAGCTAATGATCAAAGCATTTCCTCATGTGTCTGTTAGCCGCCTGAATGTCTTCTTTGGTGAAGTGCCTGTTCATATCCTTTGCCCATTTTTTAACTGGGTTATTTGTCTTTTTGTTGTTGAGGTTTTGCAGTATCTTGTAGATTTTAGAGATTAGATGCTGATTGGATTTGTCGTAGCCAAAATTTTTTTCCCAGTCTGTAGGTTGTCTTTTTACTTGTTTGGTGAAGTCTTTTGATGAGCATAAGTGTTTTATTTTTAGGAGCTCCCAGTTATCTAGTTTCTCTTCTGGTGTTTGTGGATTGTTACTTATGGTTCATATTCTGTTTATGCCATATATTAGGGCTCCTAGCGTTGTCCCTATTTTTTCTTCCATGATCTTTATTGTTTTCGATTTGATATTTAGGTCTTTGATCCATTTTGAGTTAGTTTTTGTGCATGGTGTGAGGTATGGGTCTTGTTTCAGTTTTTTGCAGGCGGATGTTCAGTTACACCAGCACCATTTGTTAAAGAGACTGTCTTTTCCCCAATTAACGGACTTTGGGCCTTTATCAAATATCAGCTGCTCATAGGTGGATGAATTTATGTCTGGATTCTCAATTCTGTTCCATTGACCTATGTATCTGTTGTACCAGTACCAGGCTGTTTTGACTACGGTGGTGGTATAATAGGTTCTAAATTCAGGTAGTGCGAAGCCTCCCACTTTGTTCTTCTTTTTCAGTAATGCTTTACTTACCCAGGGCCTCTTCCCTTTCCATATGAAGTTGGTGATTTGTTTTTCCATCTCGTTAAGAAATGCCATTGAAATTTAGATTGAGCTTGCATTGTATCGCTTTGGGTAGAATTGACAGTTTCACAATGTTGAGTCTTCCTATCCATGAACGAGGTATGTTTTTCCACTTACGTAGGTCTCTTTTGATTTCTTGCAGTAGTGTCTTGTAGTTTTCTTTGTACAGGTCTTTTACATCTCTGGTTAGGTTTATTCCTAAGTACTTTATCTTCTTGGGGGCTATTGTAAATGGTATTGATTTGGTGATTTCCTTTTCAAAGTTCTCTTTGTTGGTGTAGAGGAATCCAACTTATTTTTGTATGTTTATCTTGTATCCTGATACTTTGCTGAAATCTTCTATTAGTTGCAATAGTTTTCTTGTGGATTTTTTGGGGTTTTCTATGTGTAAGATCGTATCATCTGCAAATAGGGATAATTTTACTTCTTTCTTACCAGTTTGGATGCCCTTTATTTCTTTTTCTTGTCTTATTGCTCTGCTTAGAATCTCCAGCACAATGTTGAATAAGAGTGGTGATAAAGGGCATCCTTGTCTGGTTCCCGTTCCCAAGGGGAATACTTTCAGACTGTCTTCATTTAGCATGATGTTGGCTGTTGGCTTTGTATAAATGCCCTTAATTAAATGCTGAGGAATTTCCCTTCTATTCCTATTTTGCTTAGAGTTTTTAACATGAATGGGTGTTGGACTTAGTCAAATGCCTTTTCTGCATCAGTTGATAAGATCATGTGGGTCTTGTCTTTTTTAAAATTTATGTTATGGATTACATTGATTGTTTCTCTAATGTTGAACCATCCTGCATACCTGGTATGAATCCCACTTGGTCATTACGAATTATTTTTTTGATGTGCTGTTGAATTCTATTGGCTAGAATTTTGTTGAGGATTTTTGCGTCTATGTTCATAAGGGATATTGGTCTGTAATTTTCTTTTTTTGTGGTGTCTTTACTTGGCTTTGGTATCAGGGTTATGCTGTCTTCATAGAGTGAGTTCAGGAGTATTTCTTCCTTTTCTATGCTGTGAAATACCTTAAGTAGTACTGGTGTTAACTCTTCTCTAAAAGTTTGGCAGAATTCTCCAGTGAAGCCGTCAGGGCAGGGATTTTTTTTGTTAGGAGTTTTTTTTTTTTTTTTTTTTTTTAATTACCTCTTCAATCTCTTCTTTTGTTATAGGTTTATTATTTAGTTTTTCTACCTCAATTTGTGTTAGTTTAGGTAGGTAGTGTGTTTCTAGAAATTTGTCGATTTCCTCTAGGTTTTCAAATTTGTTGGAGTGCAGTTTTTCATAGTATTCTGTTATGATCCTTTTTGTTTCGGTTGGGTCTGTTGTGATATCGCCCATCTCATTTCTTATTTGTGTTATTTGCTTCCTCTCCTGTTTCTTTTTTTTTTTGTCAGTTTGGCCAATGGTTTATTGATTTTCTTGATCTCTTCACAGAACCAACTTTTGGTCTTGTTGACCCTTTCAATTATTTTGCTGTTCTCTATTTCATTTATTTCTGCTCTAATCTTTATTGTTTCCTTTCTTCTGGTGCCTGAGGGCTTCTGTTACTGCCCGTTCTATTTGTTCAAGGTGTAAGGTTAATGTTTTGATTTTGGCCCTTTCTTCTTTTTAGATGTGTGCATTTACTGCTATAAACTGACCTCTAAGCACTGCTTTTGCTGTGTCCCAAAGGTTCTGGTAAGATGTGTTTTCATTTTCATTTGATTAAATGAATTTCTTTATTCCATCTTTGATTTCTTCTTTAACCCAGTAGTTTTTCAGCAAGGTGTTGTTCAGTTTCCATGTATTTGATTTTTTTCCTTGCTGTTTATGTTATTGATTTCTACTTTTATGGCTTTATGATCAGAAAAGATACTTTGTAATATTTCAATGTTTTGGATTCTGTTAAGGCTTGCTTTGTGGCCTAAAATGTAGTCTATTCTGGAGAATGTTCCATATGTCTGACGTAAACTTACCACCTCCCTGACACCACCTGGTTTCCTCCCAAGACCTGGCCACACCCCTGCCTCCCACAGCAGCCACAGGGTATCTGTTAGGACCTAAGTCAGGTCACGCCCCTCCCCTCCTCTGCATCCATCCTTGGCTCCCATGTCCCTCAAAGGAGGTATGGCCCCCAAGGCCCTGCATGATCTGCCCTCTCTCTCTACCCTTCATCCTTCCTTCCTTCCCCCCTCCACTCCATCCTCACTGGCCTTCTCACTCTTGAACACGCCAGGTACACTGCCACCTCAGGGCCTTTGCACTGGCTGTTCCCTTCGCCTGAACACCCTTCCCCCAGATAGCCACATGGCTCCTTCCCATATCACTGATTTAAAATTACAACCCCCACACTCCTGCTCCCTCTCACCCAGCTCCACCTCTCTCTTCCCCCGAGCACCTCAGCCCTGTCTCAGCCCTGAGAACTGGGTCTGTTTGGTTCACTGCTGTTTTGCTGTTCGTTTCCAGCACCTAGAAGAGACAGCACACAGTAGATGCCACGTGTCTGCCATTACTATTACTAGTTACCTGCCTCCCTCCCTCTGCAGTCTTGAGGGGTGGGAGGACAGGGTGCTTCTGGGCCTGTGACCACCCTCACCCACCACCCTCGTGTCCAGGGCGTTGTGATGAGAATGGTGCCACCTTCTGAAAAGTCCTGAGGACTCTGTAAAATGATGTGTGTGAGCAGCTTGGCACCAGGGAGTCTGGCATGTAGTAGGTGCTCAATAAATGTCCCTCACATAAGAATCAGGGGCCTGGGCTCTGGAGCCAGCCTGCCCAGGATCCGGGTTCCACCAAGCTGCCCTCCTTACCAGCCAGATCGGGCATGATGAGATGTGTTCCTCAGAGTTGCCTCAGTGAGTTCCTTCCTGTGAAGGGCTTGGAGACACAGGCCTGGCACACAGTAGGAGCTTTAAGCTTTGAGTGATGGCTATTGTTGAGGAGCTTCCCTGGGCTAGCCCCACCCGGGCTGCGGTGGCTGCCGCCCAGCCGGCCTGGCCCCGCGCCCAGCCGGTGGCAGCAGGGGGCGGGATTTCCCGCTGATCCGACCAGGTCCCTCCTCTGCAGTTTGAAAAGAAACCAGTGGAGTTTAACCCTCCAGCGCTGGACAGACCCAGGCAGCCTACTCCTATCCACCTGCTCCATGAGCCTGTGCGACCCCAGGGCAGCCTCTTCCCGGCCCGCCAGCCCCGGCCCTCAGCGTTAGACACTGGACTTGGTTGGCCACAGCCTGCCCCTCAGAGCCTCAGTGTCTTCATCTGTAAAACGGGTTCCCCGCCTTCAGGGTTAAAAATGAGCATTCAACGAGCAGGCAGCGAGAAGCCGGACACTGATCGGGCGTCAGTAACTAGGGGCCATCCTCCCCCTCCCTGCGGGCCGGCACTGCGGGGAGGAAGCTCGCAGCCCTTGACAGGGACGGCCTTGGTTATCTGGCCTGGGGAGGTCCACCCCGGCCGGAGGTGACTTTGCAGCCCCCGGCCCGTATCGCTTCCTGAGTTCATCTTGGGAACAGGCTGTGCTGCCTGCTTGGGGAGGCCACTGCTAGGGGACAGTGTGTAATGAAAAAGGACCAATCCTCCTCCCCCAGCAGACCAAGGAGAGTGGAGGGGACCCTGGGGACTGGCCTGGGCTGGGGGCAGAGTGCCTGAGCTGGTGGGAGCTCGGGTTCGGAGATGCGGGGACTGGGGCAGGGGTCTCCCGGGGGCCCTAGTCCTGCCTCCGCCCTGGAATCCGGACTGCTGGGCCCCTCAGCGTAGACTACGCGCCAACACCCTGGTTCCCGGCCCGCGCCCTGTCGAGAGATTCCAGCTCCTCCCCCATCCGGCCCTGCCCGCCCGGGAACGGCGCGGCCCCTTTAAGAGCGCGCTGCCCCGCCCGCCCCCTCCGGGCAGGATCCGAATTCCAGGGAGGCGGGGCGGAGACGGCGGGCGCTGAGGCCGCGGCAGCGGCGCTGGCTGCCCGATCCGGATCCGCCGTGGCTCGGGCGGCGCCTCCCTGCGGCGGCCCCGGCACCATCCGTCCTCTGCCGGGGCGATGCTCCCCGGGGCTGCGGGATGAGCCAGGTGAGCGCGGGACCCCCCAGCAGCCCCCATGCCGGAGCACACGATGGGGTACCGGCGGCAGCGGCCTCCGTTCCCTGAGGCTGTGTGACCTTGGGTGGCCCCGCACCCTCTCTGGGCCAAGGCTCCGGGGACTGGTCGGGCCGGGCAGAGGCCGTTCCGAGTCCTGGCCCCGTACACACCGGACAAGGGCGCTGGGAAGGCTTCTTGGAGGAGGCGGGGCCTGGCCCCGGATGGTCGGTGCGGGGTCGCGCCCCGAGATCAGCAACGCGGCGCGCCTGGGGCGCCCAGGCTCCACCGCCTACTGGTCTACGACCTTGAGCCCGCTCTTACCCTCTCTGCGCCTCAGTTTCCTCGTTTGTAAAATGGAGATAATATCACCTGAGCCTGAGTCGATCGTGCGGGGAAGACTCGGGGAAGCCCCGAGTGTGCGCTCAGCCCTGGCCCCCGTCGTGGCTGTTACTGCTGTTATGTCGTTATTATAATGGCACAGTCCTTGGGGGAGGGAAGCTGAGAGAGGAGCAGGGATGGCCCCAACCCCTTACCCCTGAGCAATGAAGATAAACCCTCCCTGGGGTCAAGGCCTGAGTTTCTCTCTTGTCCAAGCAGGGGCAGGTCCAGGCCCGGCGGCGGCGGAAAGTGGGGGTGGGGAGATTCAGGCGAGGGCTTCAACTCTGGGGCTCAGTTCTTCAGTCGTAAAATGGGGGCAATGACGGTGGGCATCTGCCTGCATGGGAGGGAGGCCTCAACTAACCCCTCATCCCCCCGCAAAAAGAGCCAAACAGCCAGCGCTTACGGAGTGCTTGTTCTGTGCACTTTGTGGACACTAAGTTGTTTATAACGATTATCCAGTTGAGTTCTGTGAGGCAGGTAATATTACTGTCTCCATTTCACAAATTAGGAGACTGAGGCGCAGAGAGTCTGACACCCAGGCATTCGGCCTGACCGTGCACAGGTGGTCAGTGGCTTAGTCTGTAGTGGGCGTCACTGGGTTCTGTCAGCAATCCTGACCTGTGTCCCTGCCCACAGTGATTTGGCTGGCCCGGGCATGGCGGACCCAGTCGCGGGCATCGCCAGCTCTGCAGCCAAGAGTGTGAGGCCATTCCGCTCAAGTGAGGCCTATGTGGAGGCCATGAAGGAGGACCTGGCCGAGTGGCTCAACGCTTTGTACAGCCTGGGGCTGCCTAGCGGTGGTGATGGCTTCCTGGCTGGGCTGGCCACAGGCACTGCCCTGTGCCAACATGCCAATGCTGTCACTGAGGCCGCCCGTGCCTTGGCCGCTGCCCGGCCGGCCCACAGTGTGGCCTTCCAGGCGCACGGTGTGGCGCCCGGCTCCTTCGTAGCCCGCGACAATGTGGCCACCTTCATCGGCTGGTGCCGCGCGGAGCTGGGTGTGCCTGAAGTGCTCATGTTCGAGACCGAGGACTTAGTGCTGCGTAAGAATGAGAAGAGTGTGGTGCTGTGCCTGCTGGAGGTGGCACGGCGTGGGGCCCGCCTCGGCCTGCTCGCCCCCCGCCTCGTGCAGTTTGAGCAGGAGATCGAGCGGGAGCTGCGTGCTGCAGCCCCACCCCCCAACGCCCCCGCCACCGGGGAGGACCCCACTGAGGCTGCCATGGCAACGGGGACTCCTTCCCGTGGGCCCCGCATGACGCCCAACGACGTGCGCAACCTCGATGAGCTGGTGAGTCCACCCACAGGTGTGTGCGTGCTCAGTGGCACATGCGTATGCTCGCTTATTGAACACTGTGTATCGGGCACCAGAGAGCAGAGCTGGTGCCCGCAACAGGCCCCTGAACCTCTCGAAACATGCCTGCCACTGGGCCACCCTGGTATTTGCAGGACAGTCTGCCCCATGGAAAGGGCAGCACAGGTGTATATGTTGAGCAACAAGTGTATACGTGGCTCAAGGAGGTGGCTAGGCCCAGAGATGGGGCAGTGCCAGGTGAGATCACACAGCACAGCTGGGCCAGTACCATCACATGACCCCCCCTTTCCCTAAGTACTGTGCATTGGTTCACCCAGGGAGGCTGCATGATTTGAGCATCTGCTGTATGCCCACCTTGCACTCAGGTGCTAGACAGATGCATCCGTACCCTCAGAGCTCAAGAGATGAACTGGGTGCCTGACACTTGACTGAGATGAGGCATGGAAGCATGGGCAAGATGCCTGGCATACAACAGGCACTCAGAGAGGGCCTGGTGAGTCCCCAGGGGCTCCCATTCCCCATGGCCCTGGTGTATCTGGGAATTCAGCCCGGAGTTGCTGCCAGTGGGAGCATTGGTCCTTTCTGGAGCTGCAAGATTAGTTCCACTCTGAGTGTAGGAGGGCCATGTCCCCTTGCTCCCAGGAGCAAGGTGTCCCCTCCACCCCCCCAGGCCAGGCCAAGAATTTCCTTCTTATCGGGAGGTCAGGGCTATGATGTGCCCATCCTGGAGGCGGGTAGCCAGATGGCAGTGGGCAGAGGCTTCGTCCCACACCCGTCCCGGGCCAGTTCAGCTGAGGCTCCACCTGCTCATTTCCTCCAGCGCCGCTTTGGGTAGGGAGGTGGGTGGGGCCGCCCACACAGCCAGCCTGGCAACCCCAGGCCCAGGGGGAGCATTGTGCTCATCAGGACCTGTGTGCGCTTGTTGGGATGTGTGCGTGCCTACGTGTCCCTGGCCCGCCAGGGGTGTGGGGCCTTTTGCACTCGTGACCTGGCCTCCACATGTGCCTCAGCCTCCTTGTCTGGGAAGTGGGTAAAGGAGGAGTGAGGATGGGCTCCAGAGCTCCCCAGGCTCAGAGTCTCTGGGGCCCTGACCAGGCCTGGCCTGACCACAGCCCCTTCTCCTCTCCTGGGCAGCTCCCTGACCCCTGAGAGCCAGAAGGGGTTGCTGGTAAAAGGTCAAGTGCGGAGGCTGCACTCAAGTGTGGGGCAACACAGTCTCCCCTGCCCCTCTCCCCGAGGACTCACTTCCTCTTGACCCTGCAGCAGCTGATGTGAAGTCTAGGGGGAGGGCCTTGACCCCTGACCTCCAGCCTCTGCTCTCTGGCCTCAGGTGAGGGAGATCCTGGGCGGATGCACCTGCCCAGACCAGTTCCCCATGATCAAGGTGTCTGAGGGGAAGTACCGAGTGGGGGATTCCAGCCTACTCATCTTTGTGCGGGTAAGAGTCTGGGCGCTGGCCCTGCAGGTGGCAGCTGGGGGCGACAGGCTGCCAGGCCCAGCGGACCTGGCTATAACCTGCCCACACTGGGTCCCGCAGGTGCTGAGGAGCCACGTGATGGTGCGTGTGGGTGGTGGCTGGGACACGCTGGAGCACTACCTGGACAAGCACGACCCGTGCCGCTGCTCCTCCACTGGTCAGTGCCTGGGCGGGCAGGTGGCAGGTGGGGCTGGCTCTGTGCTGCTTGTCCCTCACGGTGGCCTGTCCTCTCTCCCTGCAGCCCACCGCCCACCCCAGCCCAGGGCTCGAACCTTCTCTCCCCAGAGGGTGTCGCCCACACCCAGCTCCCGAGCTGGTAGCCCGGCCCCTGGGGGTGAGCGCCGGGGCTCCCGGCCTGAGGTGACTCCCATTAGCCTACGCAGCTCCAAGGAGGGGCCCGAGACCCCACTCAGGTGAGCCGCAAGAGGACGTGGGGGGCAGGGGGTCTAGAGGATGGGGGTGGGGACATCACGCTGGCCTTGATGACGAGGAGCCTGTCGCTCCAGAGTGACTCACGCTCTGGGAAAAGTTCCTGTGGGTGGGGGTGGGTCCTGGCTTCCCATCTCCCTGACAACCCAACCAAACGAACAACACAGCTGGGGCAGGCCCTGGTGGGCAGGCAGCCAGTCCAACCCCGGCTTCCTCCTGGCCCGCCCCAGGGAGACAGGAGGCCTGAGGCGGGGAGCCCAGGGACCCGAGGCCATGCTTCCTGCGCTGGCTTTGGGGCCCCGAGCAGCCACAGGAAGCTGCTGCTGTGTATCTCACTTCTCCCTGGAAGTCCCCAGGGCGGACAGATGCCCTTGACAGTTCCCTGCTACCACGTCTGGCCAGAGGTCCCCCGTCCGACCACACATCTGTTCACTCCTCTTCCTGTCCTCTCTGTGACGTTCCTGCCTCTCTTGTCCCCCCACCCCAGGCCCCGCGATCAGCTGCTCCCCAATCCCCGCTCCCGCCGCTACTCGGGGGACAGTGACTCCTCAGCCTCCTCAGCCCAGAGTGGCCCCCTTGGTGCCCGCAGTGATGACACAGGCGCTGGCCCCCGGAGGGAGCGGCCCAGCCGACGGCTGACCACCGGCCCCCCGGCCTCCCCAAGGCGGCCCCCCACCCCGCGCAGCCAGTCCCGAGACCGGTTGGATTGGGGTCGGCCCCGAGGGGCCCCAGGGGGCAGGGGGGCCCAGCTGGTGGCCCCCAGCCTTACCCGCCGGGCGCGAAGCCAGAGCCGCGAGGAGCAGGCTGTGCTGCTCGTGCGCAGGGACCGAGATGGGCAGCACTCGTGGGTGCCACGGAGCAGGGGTGGCAGAGACTCAGGCAGGAGCAGCCCCCAGACGCCCCGGGCCCGCAGCCCTGCAGCACCCCGGCCTGCCCGGGTTCCTAGCCCCAGTCCAGAGTTGGGCAGCACACCAGCCAGCATCTTCCGCACGCCCCTGCAGCTGGACCCACAGCAGGAGCAGCAGCTATTCCGGCGTCTGGAAGAGGAGTTCCTGGCCAATGCCTGTGCCCTCAAGGCTGCTGGTGCGAACCCTTCCGGCCCTCCCCCTGACCCAGCTCGAATCCCGGACCCTCCAGCCCCTGACTCAGCCTACTGTTCCTCCAGCTCCTCCTCCTCCTCCCTCAGTGTCCTGGGCAGCAAGTGTGGCCCCCCTGGGGACCATGCCCGGACAGCCAATGGGCAGTCCAGGCCCCGAGGCCCAGCCCTATCCAGCTCTTCCGATGAGGGCAGCCCCTGCCCTGGTGTTGGGGGGCCACCTGATGCACCTGGGACCCCCCTTGCCGGCCCGGAGCCTTTGAGGACCTGGGCCCGGGGCCGGATGGACACGCAGCCGGACCGGAAGCCCTCCCGCATCCCCACGCCGAGCGGCCCCCGACGCCCATCTGGACCCACAGAGCCTGGAGCCTGGCGTACCCTGCACTCAGTCAGCACAAGGGCTGAGCCTGATTCCTGGATGTGATGGACCAGCCCAGCTATCCCCAGGCCCAGTTCCTTCTCCCTTTCCTTTGTGGCCTTAACCCCTCTGCATCAGGGAGCTCCCTCTGCCTCTTGGGTACCAGACTTCATGGGACCAGTCCTCTTGGGACCACATGGCACAATAGGACCTGTTGCACATTCCAGGTGGGGCGTGAGCATTGCTATTTAATTACTAATATTATTGAATGCCTTAGAGGAGGCCAGGCTGGCTTAGTGCCCTGTAGGCCTGTGGCCCTGCAGAGCCTCTGACAGTAAAGTTTTGCTCCAGCCACTTCTGTCTCCCTCTTAGGGGCTTGGCTTTGGGGACCCTCATTACATGTTGGGATTCTAGACTTGCCCAGTAGTTCTGACCTCCAGGCTCAAGCCCAGCCCCCCCAGTCTGCCCATGCTAGAAATGCCAGGTGCACCCGAATCGTTTGCTCCTTCATTGCCATGTGAGGGGTGTGACGGAAGAGTTTGTCCACTGAAGCTCCAGGAGCAGTCTGAGAGCTTCCAGTTAGATTCATAGCCAAGTCCTTCCCATCCTGTGGGATTGGGACTGTCTGACCCAATGAGGTCCCAGCAAAATCCAGTGAGTTTGGGGCATGGTTGGGTCTAATGAGATTGAAAGGTCTATAGCCGAGGAGACTGGGGTGGGAAGTTTCCTCATCCAAGCAGGGTGGAGACTCGTCCTGTCCAATTGGAGAGAAGCTGGGCAGTCTCGTCCATTCTGGGCCCCCGGGTGTGCCAGGACGCAACCTTGTCCAAGTCAGTCACATGAGGCTGCAGCGTGCTGGGTGCAGCGCTCCCTGCAGGCGCAGGGCCGGGTGCGCAGGGCGAGCCCGCACCAGAGCGCAGCGCAGCAGCTCGCGAAAAAGACGCAGCACGTGCCAGTTGTACTTGGCCGAGCACTCGAGGTAGCCGCAGCGCCAGCCCCTGCGCACCAGGGTGGCCAGCGCTCGCCGTGGCCCAAAGCGCAGCCGCTGCCGGTCCCGCTTGTTGCCTACCACGAGGATGGGAGCCTCAGGTGCACCAGCTGGCCTAGGGGCAGGATGAGAGCCAGACGCAGTGCTGAGGACCCCACAGCTGGAGAATGTCCCCAGTGGGTATACACATGGCAGGAACATCCTCTCCCGCAGCCAGAGACCCCCAGCAAACACCAGGCCCATGAGGGCCAAAGACGGCACATGGCCAGGGACCACTGGCAGACAAAGGACTTGTCTGGACCACCTGAGACCCCCGCCCATGACAACAGGAGACCCCTCTCACCCATCACAGGAAAAGGCCCGGTCAGACCAGCAAAAGCCCCCTTTCTCCCACCCCTCCGGCCGAACCCCACCTGGTCTCAGCGATGCGCTGCCGCAGTGCCTTCACATAGTCAAAGCTGTCAGGGCTGCAGATGTCATAGACGAGCACGAAGGCGTCCGTGTCCTGTAAGCTCCAGCCCTTAGGGTCTGGCCCCTCCTGGGGATGGGAGGCCAAGGTTTGCAGCGACCTTCGCGCTAAGCCCATAGCTCGTCCTCAGGCCTTGGCCGCCCTCATCCCCACATCCCCAACTATGCATCTCCCCCTCTCCCCCGCAACACACCCAACCAAGCTTTTGGGCCTACCGTCCTCATGGTAAAAATTTCCCAACTGTGCCTAGAACCTGGCAGCCACCAGCCCTGTCCTTCCCCTCTATCTCCTCTCCACCTCCCACCGGAGGCTGTGCTATCTGTCCACCCCCATTTTCCCCTTCCTTCTTCAAGCTTTCCACAAACTCAACTTGGGTCAGGTCATTCCCCGGCTCAGATGCCCTCATTCCCTCTGCTGCCGCCAAGACCAATTCCAAAGCTTTCAGCTGAGCCCGTGTCCCTGCTGGCCTTGCACCCCACGAATGGTCCTGCAGCCATATGCATTTAGGCCTCCCCCACCTCAGCACGTGATGTTCTTTTCATCTGGAAGGCTCTTGCCACCTCTTTTAATCAAAATTTCACTCATCCATTCCAGATGAGCCCAAATGTCACCCCCTCCATGAAGCCCTACTTAATCCTGCCTCCTCTTTCTTCCTCACCTCTGAGAGGCGGAGGACTGAGCCCCAAGGACTTAAAGTTTGTTCTGGACTTTGCACAAATTACTAAACAAGTCTTTGCTCCAGGTCACAGGAGTAAGGGAGCAGGGTGAGAATGAGCCCCCCCTAGAAACTTCACCCCTGTGCCTGGCCCCAATCCCTCCCACTGCAGCTCTGCTCAGCACCTGAGACAACTCTCCCCGGGTGCTGCCACTTACTGATCCAGACCCACCAGCAAATACAAGCAAAGACAGAGGCACCCCTGAGAATGAGAAAAAGCCACTTTGCAACATCTCCGGGCCCCAGGCCTAGGCCTGGGGTGCCCCTTGACTGGTGGGGAGGGGTGAGAATTACCTTCACCAGGAAGAAACCCCTGCACCCATCCATCCTTCAATCCCTGATCTCGGCCAAAGGCCCAGGGGCCGTTCACTTGGACATGCATGCGTGCACTGAGTACACACACCCCCCCATGCTGTTAAACGTCCCAGCCCTCCCCTTGAGCCGCTACCTCGGGGCCGTTTGGGCTTGGACCCGGGCCAGCGCCGTCGCCGTCACGGATGCTCAGGTCATAGACGGCGCCGTCGAGCAGCACCGCGGGCCGGTATAGGTGCGGCCGGTCCGTGGGCCGGTGGCACTCGGGGTAGTCGCCAAACAGGAACTGGCGGATGATGGCCGTCTTGCCCACACCTGGGGCGCCCAGCACGGCCACCCGCAGGCTGCCCCCCATGGCCGGCCCGCGCTGCTGCGTCCGGCTCCCGGGAGCCTCATGGGCCGGCGCAACGCCGTGCGCCCCCGGTCGTGCGCCCCAAGCGCCCTACCCCGTGCGCCCTGGCCCCGCCGCACTCCTTGTCGCCCCCAGGAGCATCCAGAGGCCAGAGCGGCCAGGCCCGAGGTCGGAGCCGGCGGTGGGAGGGCAGACAGACCGCGGAGCGAGCCGACGGTGGACGCACGAGCAGCTCCCGCGGGTGCTGAAGCCCGGGAGGGCGCAGACCGGCGCCGCACGCAGACACCGCCTCCGCCCCGCGGCGCGAAGGGAGGCGCCGCCGGCAGCGCGGGGCACCGAGGTCCGACCTCCTCGCAGCGCGGGTCCTGCAGCGGAGGGGAGCGAGGCTGCGCTGCCTCTTGGAGCCTTAGTCCCTCGGTCCTCCCCTCGCTCCGGCACCCTGAATCGCCGCCGCAGCCGGCGGCGCGAGCGAGCGGAACCTCTGGGAGGTGGCGATGAGGTAACCGCCCGTCCGCCCCTCCTACCTGCTCCCCCGCCCCGGGACGCCGTTCCTGGGAAGGGTCGCTGGAAGGTGACCGGGGGCAGGCATCCCGGGGAGGGTCTTCTCCCCCTCGGTGCACCGCGCTTCTCTCACCCCCTCCAAAATAGAAGTCCTTGCCCGCCCACGGCTGCTCCTCCAAACCCCGCTCCCTTCAGCTGGCTCCTGACAAACCCAGGCCGGCAGGAGTCAAGCTGCCGGGGGTCGGGTCCCGCCTCAGCTGTGTGACCTTGGGCGAGTCACCGCACTGCGCTGGGTCTCCGCTCGGTGTCCTGAGAATCTACTATGGTCAGGCCCTTTACTGAGCTAATACCTACGTGATGCTAGAATCTACACCCGAAACCTGGTATCTCAGTTTAAGAGATGAGGAAACTGAGGCTGGAGAGGGGTATCTCCAACGTTAGACAGGCAGTGGGTGCCCCACCCACCTTATGGCCTCCGCTGAGGCCCATCCCACCTTCCTCCTGCTCACGGGGGTAAATGACTACCAAACTATATTCCAAATGGCTGTCATGGCTGTGGGGGGTGGGGGGTGGGGGCAGAGGAGGCTGAGCCTAGCACACCTGGACAAAGCAGGAACGCCCCAAATCCCTGTCCCAAGAAGGCTAGGGGTGAACAAATATAGAAAAATCTGGAAGTCAGCATCACCCCAAACCCAACCCAACCAAAACCCAACCCAACCCAACCTCAAACCATTGCTGTCAGACTTACAGTGACCCTATAGGACAGAGTAGAACTGCCCCAATAGTGTTTCCAAGGAGCAGCTGGTAGATTCTGCAGATCTTTTGGTTAGCAGCTGTAGCTCTTAATCACTGCACCACCAGGGCTCCCAGCACCACCTGGGGCACTGCTAAGACCAACTTTTCTTCCCAGCTCTCCACCCGTAGCTTCCTCAAAGCTGTGCAGCCCCAAATCAGACTCCCAGAGCCCACATCCCCCTCCCTGAAGCTGGTAGGGAAGCTCCTTTCCCATCAAAGCTTGGAAAGTCTGGGTTTGCCCAGTGCCCCATCCTCAGCTGGCTGTCCCCCTGACAGTGGGAGGCTCCCACGTCCCTGACCTCTGCATGGCGCTGCCCAGGGGCCCCATGAAATGCAAGGCCATCTCTATATTTCTGCACGGACAAAGGATTTCATTTATTCATCTCTTCAACAAATATTCCCAATCTTATAGCTTGCCGGGATGCTGAGATGGATTAAAAAAAAAAAAAAAATCTGTCCTCAGGAGGAAAGATTCTAGAACACATGGGATGCAGGAACTGTAAAAGCACAGGCAACATGCCCACCCCAGCCTGAGGGGAGCGAAGGAGAGGGTGTGGGAGGAAGAGCTAAACCATGGGAGGGGTATGCATCCTCCAGGGAGCAATGACAACCAGAAGGTGATTCTCTTGAGTACGGGGGTGTTTTCATCCTCCAGTGCTGGGTCAGGACTTGGTTGGCTTTCACTCTTCTCCTCAGGTCGCTAGAGAGCTCTGAGCCAGATTGTGGCCACCTCAGGTGCTCCAGGTCTTCAGGCCCAGAGTGTGGGGCCCCCTGGCTTCATCTTCCTTTCCTGCCCTGATACGCTTTCAGCCGGTTTCCCCTCTCATTTTTTAATTTTTCAGGCTCTAGGTTCTGCGAGCTGCCTCAATTCCTTCAGGGAAAGAAATCCCTTCCCTCTTGGCATTCCACAGGGTGTGGGGCTGAGTTGAGGGTGGTCTTCCACAGGGCCACTTGGCGGCGCCCACTCCCCGGCCTGGAGCACCTCTCTTCTTGCTGCCAGGGGAGCACTACTAAGCCTTAGGAGCCAGCCCTGGGAGCTCTGTCTGGAAACGCTTCCCTGCTTCAATCTCAGGCAGAGTCAGTTGGCTCCTCCTCCCTCCTTTTGGGCTGCGCTTTGGGTGTAGTGGTTAAGTGCTACGACTGCTAACCAAGAAGTTTGACGGTTCAAATCCACCAGGCGCTCCTTGGAAACCCTATGGGGCAGTTTTACTCTGTCCTAT